ATTTAGGCTGGAGACCTTGACGGGCAACCTTGGATATACCAAAACACAACAGTGGTTTGATTTACCATGGCCACACATAGAATTTGCTCTACATAAAAAGCTTAGTCAAATCTTATGTGAAAAAAAGTAGTTGAAGGAAACAATTTTATGATTTAAAAATAAATATAAAAATATACAAACCAGAAAAGGGTCTAGATATAAAATACTCATATTACACATCCCTGATCAAATTAAATTCAAATCAACAGCATTTCTGATTAATTGGGGGGGGGGGCTACAAGCACTGTACAATAATAAACTCAAGATGGGATTAATTAGCAAACTATTAACACAAATTCTGAGAAAAGAGCAATAATTGTGAAATTGAAAGAGTTGTAATACTTGGCTAATATACTGACAGTATGCAAATAACTTGTCAGTGACAAGATACACAACACAATTTTGAGAATTTATTTGAATATTTGGGAGTTTGACCTCATTAAATTTTGAATAGGGTACATTAGTAATGACTGCACTACAAATTGTTAAGATTGTCTGCCATAATGTGAAAATAACACAAAAAAACCATAAAATGGGGGTTACGCATTTTTCTCAGAATTCCTAAGGCCACTGAATTTAGTAGTGACATGAATAATTCATTGATGAATGAATACAATTTTTAGACCAGTTTAATAGAAACATTTATATTTACAGACTACAGCCCAGCCTAAATCAAATTAATAAGATTAGGGCAAAAAATATACCGAATTACAAATTTTCAAAATCTTCAACCAAGATATAAGAGATTGACAGAAATGGGTGAAACGCATAGCAAAATATAACATTTCTGGATAAAAAATTACTCCATTGTGTCTAAATAGTTGAATACAAAGCAAGAAAAGTGGTAAAATAAAAATAAAAAAGATTTCCAATTACTTTGCACTACACCTGCCAAATGGAGCTGATCTCATGAAATGTATGCTTAAACACACAACCTCATAATTATCACATCTATGCAAGGTCAAAAGAGGTCAAAACTTATAATAATTAGGTCAAAGTAAACTTTGGTTATGTAAGATGAGATCTGCCAAAAATGTATAAATTCCAGTGAATAGAGCCATAATTATGGTCAAAACAACAATCTCATATGACGAGATTGCTATATGAAAATAATGAACAAAGTTGAAAACATGGCTCAAAAATGGGAAATCAACATGACAGTAATCAACCACATGAAACAACTAACATGTTGGCCATCTCAAACTCTTACGAATCTCAGGTAAACAAGACACCTACTGTATTTGGATTGCACCTAGAAAAATCACTGGAAAAACACCAAGATTAGAAAATCCAATTACACACAGAATAAACCCATCAGGTACACAGCTGCTAAGTAGTAAACAAAAGACGACATGTTGGTCTCACATTTGACCCAGGTAATCACGCCCTCAAACAGGGAGCACCTAAGGAAAAAAATATTTAAAAAATGTCATTGGTTCTTGCAAGGCATTTAAATGGCTACGAGCAGCCATTGGTTGATTAGTGGCATGAGACCTTTCAAAGATTTACAACCAATCCCACAATGCAAACATTCACATTCCCC